TCACTGAAATTATGCCTTGGTTTTGCTGCAATTATCTGCATAATTTATATTTTTAGGAGCAAATGATGATATTTTATCTTTTTTCTGATAATTCATATCTATGTGGTTGACTCCCTTTTATTATATTTTGAGTAGAACATGCTTCAGACTGGCCTTATCGTTGGTGGATGGGATAAGTATGAAGGTGGTAAAATATATGGAATTCCTCTTGGTGGAACACTGGTTGAGCAGCCTTTTACTATTGGAGGTATGGTATTCTCTTCATCTTTTAACTTTAAGCAACCTTCCTTTCCAATTTAGGGAGCGAAGCTTGATGCCTGTCTATCTGTTCTGGTTTTATGTTCCCTTTCATTAATTTACATGTATATGCAAATTTTTGCATAGTTGGCATTTTGTCTCTCTTTTACCTCCCCACTAATCTGCATATTGCTAAGACTGTTGATTGCCATCATTCTTTCCTTAGTTCAGCCTGAGAAATTGGAGCTAAAAGAGGTTCAATGCCAGTCATTGTAGCCTTGAGAATTTTTGATTGATATACTCATCCCCTCACTTGTAATCAGGAGCCAATGGTAAAATATGTGATGTCTTCTTCATAATTAGTTTACTAATGATTAATGAAATGGGATTAGCCTTCCCCGCCCCCCTAATTATTGGTTTCTCAAAGTTGTACATTACCTAGTTCCAAAAATAAACCTAAAATATTGGGAGTTTGGTTGAGAAATTATGGGTGCCATTAGCAAGTGCTGTATTACTTCTGCATAAAAATAGTTATGATCTGGATTGATGTGGATTGCGCAGGATCTGGCTCCAGTTACCTTTATGGGTTTTTTGATCAGGCATGGAAGGAAGGAATGACAAAGGATGAAGCTGAGGTACGTTTTGTTTTAGTCAAGCTTGACAAATGTTTTCATCTAGTTCTTTATAATTTCATGGATACAAATTATTTTGTAAAAGTACTTATGGGTTGGTTGACCATTAACTTTATTATGAATTGTTTTATGGAAATTCATTGCAGCAATTAGTAGTTAAGGCAGTTTCCCTCGCCATTGCTCGTGATGGTGCTAGTGGGGGTGTTGTTCGCACTGTGGTGGTAAGATATTTTGCACTTCTAAATGAATGATTCTTGTCCGCGTAATGTGAATTCCGTGTACAGATCTGACCTTACCTTGTTTTTTATGTTGTGTTGCAGATCAATTCTGAAGGAGTGACGAGGAACTTCTACCCGGGTGACAAACTGCAGCTGTGGCATGATGAATTGGAGCCACAGAATTCGTTGCTGGATATTCTGAATTCTCCTAGCCCTGAACCCATGAATATTTGATAAAAAGGCCGAGGGGATTCACCGATTCACCTTTTAGGTACTTATCAGCTGCAGCACTACATTTGTTCTCATTTCAGACGTTTTGAACGGTGTATGTGTAGCTTGATTGGGATTCAGTTTCGCTTTAAATGGCACTAAAACCATATTTGATAATGATTTACGCTTGGATGTTATGGATTCCTCTGCTATCCTCAATTTAGATGCTGAACTGATAGGATTATATTAGATAGAATGGTTGTGAATTGTGGTGTTAATGCCAAGCTCGATTACAGTAGACTTGGGTATCCTATAGGCCACATTGCATTGGTATGTCGGAGTAAAGAACTAAAAAAAAAATGGTAAACTATGTCATATACTACCGAACTTTAGGTGTTATATCGTTTATACTATTGGACTTTCAATTTAATCAATTATAGTATTGAACTTTGATTTTGATTTCAATTATACCACTGAACCGTTAAATCGTTAATGGCACGATGATGTGACCGACGGCTGCTGACGTGATTGATGAATGTCGATGTAGGCATCTCATCAAAATGACGTCGTTTTGATCTGACTGTTAACGATTTAACAATTCAATGGTATAATTGAAATCAAAATCAAAGTTTAGTGCTATAATTGACAAAATTGAAAGTGCAATCGTATAAACGACAATGCCTAAAGTTCGATGGTTTTTGGTATAGTTTACTCGGGGGGAAACACCGAGTTGGACTTTTTTTATTCGTGATTTTGATTAAAATGGGCGTACCTCAGCTGCTTAAAATAGATCTAATATATCTGAGACGGTAGCCCTTGTTATGGTTAGATTTTGTAAATATATTTGAGGGGTCTCTATTATCTTAAATTTTGAAATTTAGTCTTTTGATTAAACGAGTCATTGTATTTAAAAAGTATTGAAATTACATTTAACTTTGTACATTTACAGTTTTTATCGATTTGATCTTTAATATTTAAAATAAATAAATAAAATCATTTATTAAAAAATTTAATTTTTTAATTTCCTACGTTTATAACTTAATAAAAACTATAAACATAAAGAGTAAAAAGTTGTTTTCTTTGGTAAGTAATTAACTGTAAAATCAAACAAAAATTAAGGAGAAAAGTCGGGGGGGCCACGGCCCAATCAAATTTAACCAAAACAAAAATTATATAATTAGAGAGGGACAAATAATTTACACTAGTATAAGAATTTATAAAATTTAAAGCATGTTGAATTTATAAAACTTTAAGAGGTTAAAATATATCAATAAGAAATTTAAAATAGTAAACTTATTAAATTTAAGAAAAATAAATTTATAAAGTTTTAAGAGATTAAAATAAATTATTCATAAAAAACTTAAAATATATAAAATTTGAAAATTTCTAAGGCCTCTCTATCTATTCCTCTAGTTTGTTTTTGTAAACAACATAACAATATCAGACAGATATTTGAACTTGAACAGATAATCGAGCTGGGTGCAGTTGCATTTTGTTGAAGATGAGATTGTGGGCTAACTAAATTGTGTCCAAAGTGTTGGGCTGTTGAGAATTGGTTTGGGTTTTAGAGTTTTGTCGTGGATATATAGTTACAGGAGGTTGGTGTTGCTGGCTATTTGACAATCGGCAATCGGCAGGTTGAGGGAGGAGAGTGGAGCGCAGGTACTAAATAAATAAACAAAAAGATTCTATATAATTATAGTCCATCGGAATCGGAAGTGAATGAAAATGAGCCAAGCAGCGGCAGCGTAAAACGTATTCGTATATGGAAGCCTATTAGCAGATGATGTGGTCCGTGTCCTCTTGAATCGAGTCCCCCCTTCCTCCGCTGCTCTTCTCAATAACTTGTAGTTATATTCTCCTCCATCCATCCTCAATTCGATAATCCACCTCTGCTACTTTTTTCTTTTAATTTTACTCTCGATTCACAATATGTGCAGCCACAGATTTAGCATCAAAGGACGCGTTTATCCGGAAATTCTCCCGGTCGAAAACCGTCACGTTACTGGCAGGGTGTGTCCTTCATCCCTATTAAATAATACGAATACTCTACCCTTTTGTCTTTTCTAACTTCACTCGCGTCTCAGGTGTTGTTGGGAATAACGGATCCTGAATTGCTCATTTAGGATGAATTTGAGGATGTTGAGTACCGAAGGACTAGCATTGAAGTCTCTTTGCTGGTAACTCTTCTTGGTATGATCTACTCTATAGTCTAAAACCCAGAACATCTCATCTCTTCTTCTAATTTCTCTTGTTTTTTTGGCTTGTATGGACAATAGATTATTCTTCGAGTTGATAAAACATTTTCGAAACCACCATTCTTCATCAAAAATAGTATACAAGTCTCTGTTATTCCTTCTCGAAAATAGTAGTTTTTAGATATAAATGAATGATTTTATGTGAAGATGACAAATTATAAGACGAATTTAGATTGTCTAATAAAAAATAATTAAATTCTATAAAAATTTAAAATTTCCAAATATCGGACCTCTTTGATGTATCCATCCGTGATAGTCACTATTATTCCATGATGCAGGAAAGTTCTGGCAAGTTGCAAGCTCACGCTTATGTCTGGAGCAACACAAGTGATTCCAACTTGTACGGAGATTGGGACTTAAGGTATTTTCAATTTGCTTCTTTGCAACTACTATTCGAACTCTACAGATGAGTTGGGTGGAGTGTGGTTTGAGATTTCATATAATTCAAATTCTTCCCATCATGGCTACTATTTACCTACGGGTAGTGTTTCGTTGATCTGATAACCCTCCCTGGTGTTACTGCAGAAACCTGTAGAATTCTTCGCAAAAATAAGATAAAAACAACACCGGTGTGGCAATCACTTAAAAGGGTAGGTAACAAGAGTTGAATGGTAGTTAGGGATGTTAAAAAGATTTCTAGTTAGTTGAGTTGACAAATCTTGTTTTATAACTCAAATTTTATTTGAATTTTTTTCTACTCGAGTTTATGAAATTCTAGTTGAGTTGTTTAAGTTTCTATTTAAATTTATTGTAAATATTTATAATATTATGATACTAATTGTTTCTAATTTAAACAGTTTTCTATAACCATATATGATAGACGTATATATTTTTTCATGTGCGATATACATATATTATTCATACTTAAAATTAATCTACTAAATACTAAATATTTCAAGTTATTTGAGTTGTTCGAGTCCCATTTTAACTCAAACTTTATTTTAATTTTTTCGAGTCTAGTCGAATTTATGAAATTACAAATTAAATCAAATCAAATCAAGTGTTTTAACGTCAATCGAATCTTGATCACCACTAATAGTAGTGACCAAAATCAGGTCAAGGAAAGAAGTTTTATCATGATGGACATGGGATTTTAAAAAATTGCCATATATTGTAAAGGTATATTAGGCACTGGATTCACAGTTTGTGAGTGTATATTTGCATGTGTTAAACAGGAATGGAAACAATTGCACAAGGAAAGCTTTACCAAGATGACCATGAGATTTATGGAAGAACTAGAGCTGCCCGAATCAAAGCCAAGAGTGGTTACAAACGAATCCTTCTATCAGCAAGATTTAGGAAACAATGTAATATAACTTGTCAACAATCTAGCAAGCTCGAGTGTGGTTGATCAATGTTGGTTATCAGTTTGTTTTGCTATTTCCCTAGGCTGAATAAAATTGCAGCATGCATGGCAATGGCATTGCAGATAAATTTTACTGTAACTGAATCGGCATGATGTTGTTTATTTTGATTGCAAAGTTAGCAGAAACAAAGGAAGGATGAATTTTGATTCAATGGTCACAAGGCACCAACTTGGAGCCTTTGTTACAAAGGCCTTGCTCTCCAACAGATGAAACCAGCTTACCATAACTGTATCTTAGGGGCATCCTTCCCCAAATCCTATGGAACTCCATTATGCATTCCCCTCTCCTCTTCCGGTGCTCCGCTCTCCTACTGCTCAGCCCCACGTCTCTTACGCCATAGCCATCACCATCTTCATTTCTTGGGTCTCCCCAGTCTCGGACCCTTTCCGCTCCCACCATGAGAGGCCCCTCATTCGTCTCCTCCGCCACCACAAAGTTCATCAGAATATCCTCGCAATTGCGCTTCTCATCGACTACCCTCCTCATCTCGCGCATTGGGGCCCCTCCTTCGCAACTGTAATTGAACAAGTACTCCCCCTTCATCATCATGAACTTGGTGAGCACTATGGAATATTTGTTCGGATGCACCGTATAGATCCACTCCTTTCTCGACAAATCTATATCATGTGATCTCACGAATACCCCAATCAAACGATCCGGATTGCCCCTCCACATCTTGAACGCGAATTCCACCGTCTTGGGATCCACTTCCACGTCATCATCGCACACCAGGACGGCACGTGTCTTGATCGATGACCTTGGCAGGAATCGGGCGTTGAGGCTGCGGGATGGTTGGGGGACGAGGGAGATGGCGGCGCCCCAGGAAGAGAGCGAGAGGTTGTTGGCGAATTGGGATAGAGTAAGGGGTGGGGTGGAGGGGTTACCCCAGAGGACCTGAACAGAGGATACCAGTGGGGATGCAGAGAAGGAGGCGGCAATGGAGAGGAGGAGAGGGAGGCGGGACTCAGAATAGCCGTTGATGAGAACGGTTAGTTGATCGGATCTGAGAGTGCGAGAGTGGGGTTGGTTGCTGAGGTCGCATGTTGTGTCTGAAGAAAGAGCAGGGATGCGAAGACATAACGCAGTTGAGAGGGAGAGGAAGAAGATGATTGCAGCTACATATGCTCCCATCTCACTTAAACTCAAACTCCACCTGTAGCAGCATAAAGAGAATATGAGACAATGAAGAAAATATTTGAACACTGAAACTGTAAAAAATGGAATAAGTTATTTTCAAAAATATGAAATGCTATTACCTAGAAGGATAAAGCTTATATTATCAATAATCACATTAAATTCTTGTAGCTTCATAAATATAATGTCACGATTGCGACAAAAGTAATAGAAATTTAAAGATTCTCAATCATTTGACAATAAAAGTTCAAATACTAGAAGTTATTGTTATTTCTTAAGGTTCCGAGTTCGAGCCCCAAGAATATCAAGGATATGAGCGTTTAATATCGAATGATTCAAAGTTATGTTTGAATAGATATTACCTGTACAAAAAATAAATAGAATTTTAGTTGAGAACCGAGAGAATTTGAGATTTCAGAAATAGAATTCATTCAATTGACAAGATAATACTCTGATTGTTCATTACAGTTCTATATATTCACAGGTACTGCTAACAAATTCTACCATCCTAGCCGGCTGTCTAACACATGCCTTAGGTCTCTTCCATGCAGGCTGGATGACTAACACTTGTCTGTAAACTGTCAATAGACATGTTTGTTCCCTCTCCAAGCTTTTGGTAAAACCCTCGAGTAAAATCATAGTATTTGTTAATTGTTATCATTGTTGTTGGTTCCTCCGATAAGTCCTGTAAATTTAGGACCCTCAACCATTTTCCCAATCATGAATGAAACCCCAAGTGATAAAAACTAGGATAAGCAGATTTCCTCAGCCCAAACTCTTGATACTCATTTGATGGCACAATCTCTACACGACCTGCCCTAAAACCAACAAAAACGAAAACCTGTGAGTTTCTCTTGGAGGAGCACTGATCAGGTTTTATGACATAACTAAAGTTGATAGACAGAAAGAATCAAAGAAGTACTCAATCCATCAGCAAGCAAAGGGAGGTAAGTGAATATTAGGAGATTTGAGAGGATTAGTATATCATCAGACAGCCGGGCCCTTACATTTTTCTCTTGGTGTTTGTTTCTAATTTAAATGATTTGAGAGAGGATATACTTCAGAAATGATCGTTCATGAGTTTAGCTTTAAAAGAATCGAACTAAGAAATAAGGCAAACCGTATTTAGTTAGGAAAAATAGAACCCTTCGAGCCGCTAACAAACCCTAGAAATGCAATTACTGAGGATCCCGGATTGCTTAAGCTGAATCGAAGCTCATGAGCCAAAATAACCGTTCAAAAAACAGTCAAACCCTCGAAGTACCAGCGATAGAATGAATTTTAGACCAACCAAACACAAATAGAAAATCAAAATTCTTACCTTTAAATTTTATATTCAAGTTCTACATCCTTCCCAGTCCAAAATGTTCATTTTCTAATTGGAAAACCTAAATTATCAAAAAGAATAACATATTCGAGCAAGAAGGCATAAATCAGATTATGAAAAGACGTTGAAATAGAAAGAAGCTCGGAGAATTGCAGAAAAGCAGCCAAAACTTTTGCAGGACATGTGATTAAGAGAGTGGATTTAAGGGGATATAAAAATGCATACCTGAAATTTATTATTAACAAAAAGAGTAGAAGAATTTGGATAACGACCGATCGAGATGCTTAATTTAATAAATTCATCGAATGCCTCCTGCAAGAAGAAGTGCAAGGCTAAGAAGACGAGCAAAATATTCAGCAAACAAAAAAGAAAAGGAAAAGAAAGGGCAGAAGACAGGACCAAAAATCCCAACAAAGACGAGAAGAAGATGATGAAGACGAAGAGCAGTATTTGCTTCTCAATCACTTTCAAAGCCTCGTTTTTATTATGACCAGACCCAACACCAGTCGTCACTATTCTCCCCTACTTTTCCCCTCGCCTAAAATACACGTGTCGGTAGAAGCCTGTAAGTTGTTTTTCTTTTTCGAGGAGTGAAAAATTAAAACATAAGGAGAAATTTCAAATTTCCATAAAAATGGAAGAATTTTCTAAGATCAATAAGCAATTCTGATCTTAAGTTTTGAATAGCAGAAGCGGAAGTGGAAAATGGAAGTGATAAATGAGATAGAGGGAGCACAGAAGGTCAAGTTCCTGGTTCGGCTGAATTGAGCAGATGGACGGAGTACCAGATTGTAACTTTTAACTCTATTAATTGGCTGAATACATTTTTTTTTGGATAAGTGAAGAGAAGAGAAATACATTTGAATCGTCTTTTCTCTTCTTTTTTTCTCTTGTTGACTGTCGCACGTGTGCTACTGTCTTCTGCTGTGTTTGTGTTCGTGTCTTCGACAGATACCACGTGCATTTTTTTAGGTATACGAATTCCTAGAAAGATTATACTAATTTCAGGGGTATTCGCTCATTGAATCAAAGCCTTTTCATTCTACTAAAAGCAAACAACAAAACTAATATGTATATAAATATATGAAAATTTAATTATATTAAATGTATGTAAAGAAATACAAAAATGGCATACTATTGTCCATCCATTTCCTCTTATATAAACAAAGGAAAGTGATCATTATAATAAGGTAGTAGCAGAACTTAAAATTAATTAATCAGAGGTCTGTTAATATCGCGAGAGCCTGACAACCCCTCCGGCAATGGCACATTCAGCTCGGAACAAACTAGCTCTACAATCTTTGAAGTGACAGCCCCAAATGACATTTTGTTCACAGTTACAGCCATGGCAAACCTGTTCCTTACATCACAAAATCCTGTTGATCCCCCCATTCCCGAGTGGCCAAACCCAGTGTATGTCCCGTCCCCATCTTTGGATTTAAACCTCCTGAATCCTAGTCCAAATGTCCCATCTCCCAAACACAAATTCCCATATTCACCTACTCCCATGAATGCCTCGTGAACCCTGGGGTTTGAAAATATCTTCTTGTTTTCAGGACCTTCCCACCTCTCTCTATTTGCAATGCCCTCCCCTATACCCCTGCTGCTTCTGATACACTTCTCTACATCATCCTCCTCGTCCTCATCCGCGATCTTGGTATAACTGCCTTGCCTAATATCATTACTTCCATCAACCTTACCCTTTTGCTTTTCATGGATCTTTCTCGAAGGAAATTTGGGGATATGGGGATGGCTTCCAAGTGGTGGATTTGAAACAGAGGAATGTGGTGGTGGTACCGCGCCACCATCAGCTAAGGCTGCATAGTAGCGTGCAAGTGCACGGGCTGAGCAATGTCCATTAGCAGCAGGTATGATAGCCCGACGGATGTTAAGCATATTAAAGAAAGCAGGCAAGTATTCTGCAAATTCACCAAAGTTGTTTACTTGGAAAGTCGATGGCAGCTCAGGTCGATTTTGCATTTCCGAGAACTTCTTCAAATCATCCATATCTATAGTCAGTGTAGCAAGTCGAGATTCCACACCTGGATGGTAGTACATAAAGAAGGCATCAATACTATGTTGAGAAAGGTGAACAGGACCTGCAAGCAATGAATAAGAAGGCATTTGTACATCATGAATCAAGAATACAAAGGAGTTTAAATTACCAGGAGGAATTCCAACATATAGCTCGCCATCAATTTTGAGAGGATGAATGAAAGCCTCTTCAAGAATCTCCTGGAATTTCTTCCCAGATGCATGCTGTTTCACCCAAGCAAATAAATTAAAACCACGTTATATGAAGGAGTGAGCTATCCTACAATTTCAAGTCAGTCAGAATGTTAGGAAGAAGAATATTATAATGATAGGAACGAGTAATCAAGTAGGAAGCATGAAGTGTGTTACTGGAAAAGGCATCATTTAACGGCTCGGAGAGAAAGAGATCAAGAAAAACAAACATAAAAAAACAAAGGGTAAACTACGCAAATGGTCACTAATATTTGAGTAAGTTTTCGTTTTTATCACTGATGTTTCAAAAGTCACAAATCAGTCACTAACGTTATCGCTTGTTACAAATTGGTCACTCGTCATTAGTGACCAACTGTGTAGTTTACCCTAATTAATAAGGGGATCATGTGTTTCATTTAACATTCTGAACCATTCTTCTTCCATAAATTCATTGCTTCTACCATAAACTCGTTTCTTCTTCCATAAACTCGTTTCTTTTTCTTCCATAAACCCATTTCTTCTTCTTCCATAACCATTTCTCCTTCTTCAATTCGTCTAAGAGAAAAAGTAGTGAGAAAAACGATTTCTTCTTCTTCCATTTGTCTAAGAGAAAAAGTAGTGAGAAAAACGAGCAAAGAGAAACCATCGTACTTACATGGAGATTTCGGCAAGGGGGACAACGCTATGCTTTATGGTAAGCTTTTTTTGGGTTTGATAGAAAAAAAAAAACCTTAGTTGGGCATCCACAGTTGCAAAGCGGAACATCAACGGAGTCTTCCATCATCACAGGATTTCTCTTTTCTTACGATTTTCAGAAGAAAAAAAATTAAAAAATAGAGATAGGAATGAAAAAACCCTGAATTAAGTTTAGGGCTTGGGTTTTTTAAAGGGAGAAGAGGTGACCGTAGAAGGCTTTTGGGTCTTCAACGTTGCAGTCAACCCAGTCCATGTAAGCAGTTAACGAGCCAGTTGTGTTTTCCGTCACACCTGTTAACATCTGTTAACGTCGAGTGACCAATTTGTAACAAACGACAACATTAGTGATCGATTTGTGACTTTTGAAACATCAGTGGTGAAAACGAAAACTTACTCAAACATTAGTGACCATTTACGTAGTTTACCCAAAAACAAATTCAAGCAATCGAGTTATGTGAATAGTGAACCCTCATGACTACCAACTCCAATAGTCCTCTAATCTCTTATATTACTTGGACTCTGGAGTGATTAGTGAAAGCCGGGTATGTTAAACTTTTTCTCGAGTTTAATTAGAGCAATGTTGTGTTAGCAATGAAGATTGGAGATGAAAGAAAAGGGTACTACTACTTGTTGTACGGAGTAGTCTCGTCCTAATGAGGAGAAAGAACTTACAATCACAAAACTCAGGGCTAGAAATAGTGGGTCTCCTGGTTTTGGCTTTGTGTTAGGGTATAGGATCTTTTGACGAATTTTGGGGTCCTTGGAGGGTCATATCCAGACAAACATA